CCCCTGGGGAAATCTGTTTATGGTCTCTGTGTCCATTGGACCAGCTGCCTTGACTTAGAGGAAATGTAAACTGACCTTTGTCCCCAGTAGGGATCCTGGCCCCACCCTGAGCTGCTAGCTGCAGCCCTCCTCCAGCCTTCTTTCTCCCAGCTTCTTGGTCTTGCCCCTCGCTCAGGCCAGCCCCAGCCGCTCTGAGAGTTCGCTGGCTTTTGCTCCAGCAAGGGGGACTGACTTTCCCTGGTCTCTGTCTACACCCATAGCTCTGAGAAGGCCTGCAGGCCTGCCACAACCCCTCCCCAGCTGGCCTCTCTCCTTGGAAAGCCAAGCACCAGCCTATAGAAAGGCTTGAACACAAAACAAGCATGCATTCACAAATCCGGGACTTAAAAATGTGACTCTTCCTTTCTTTCCAATGCGGGTGCCTTACACCTTGCCCTCTCTGCATTTCTCCAGGAGTCTGCCTCAGGCCTCCCACGGCTGCCACACCCCAGCAGGCTTCCGGATGTTGGGAATGGGTGTAGAGGTCCTATCCCCACTGTAGCATGACAGTGAAACAACACTAAGCTTTATTTATTTATTTTTTTTAAAAATATATATTTTATTGATTTTTTTTTTTTTACAGAGAGGAAGGGAGAGGGATAGAAAGTTAGAAACGTCAATGAGAGAGAAACATCGACCAGCTGCCACCTGCATGCCCCCCATGTATACGCCCTTGACCTAAACAGAACCAGGGACCCCTCAGTCCATAGGCCGACGCTCTGTCCACTGAGCCAAACTGGTCTCGGTGCAAAACTAAGCTTTATTGTCACTTCTTTCACAAGTGTTTAATGAGCGCTTACTAAGAACTAGGCATTGTTCTAGACACTGGGGGTTGGCTGAGAAGAAAACGGTAAGGTCCCCCGTCCTCATGGAACTTATATTCAGGAAGAGGAGGAGGAATAACCAAACATGTAGTGCATTTTCAGATGATGATGAGTGCTGTTAAAAAACACACGTGAGGGCCACGGGAGGGTGGATCATGCAGGTGATCAGGGAAGACTTCTCCGCGGAGGTGATTCTAGGCAGGCACTCGGGCAAAGGGAGGGAGGAAGCCATAGGAATAATGGTGGCAAGGCTTGCAGACAGAGGGCACAGCATGGCCCTGATTAGGGGGAGCTGGGCATGCCAAGGAAGCCCCCCCCCCCCTTTTTTTTTCTTCCTGTGACATACTGTCACGAGTACTTTGGAATTTTAATTGTGAGGAAATACACATAACGTAAACTTCACCATTTTAAAATATACCGTTCACTCACATTAAGTCTCTGTGCAACCATCACCACCATCTGTCTCAGCCCTTTTTTCATCTTCCCAGACATAAATCCAGTGCCCACCAAAACGAACTCCCCATTCCCCTCTCCCCCAGCCCCTGGCAGCCAACATCCCACTTTCTCCGTCATCTCATTTAATCCTCAAGACAACTGTAGGCCGTAGGTTTCTTTTTCTTTTTAAATATATTTTATTGATTTTTTTAGAGAGGAAGAGAGAGGGATTGAGAGTTAGAAACATCGATGAGAGAGAATCATCGATCAGCTGCCTCTTGCACACCCCCTACTGGGGATGTGCCCGCAATCAAGGTACATGCCCTTGATGGGAATCGAACCTGGGACCCTTCAGTCCGCAGACGGACGCTCTACCACTGAGCCAAACCGTTTTGGCTGTCATAGGTTTAACTGCCCTGCCCATTCTACAGATGGGAAACTCAGTCAGAGGAAACTGCCTGAGGTCACTCAGCTATGGTTTTCCTGGCTCAGGCTCCCAGCCTTAACCGCCTACCAGGAGGGGGTGAAAGATGCCACTCTGCCGCCCCTCTGACAGCCCAGAGGTGGCCCAGGAGGGGCTAGAAAGGGTTATGAGCAGGTGAGAGGCTTTTCTTGCTAGAGCAGGAAGGTTTGTTGCACCTGACTCTAACTGTCTGGAAGGAAGGGACTGCTGCCCAGGGACGTGGGTGGGGTTGAGCTAACATTTTCCTGGCCTGCGTGTTGTGGGCTTCGGTGCCAGAGAGTCCACTCCTGCCCTCACCACTTACAAACTGGGAGCTGGGTACGTTCTCCTTCAAGCCAGATTCCCTTCCTTGTAAACAGCATCATGCTGGCTTTCCAGGGTGGGTGAGAGGGTCGAATGAGATAAGGCAGGTAAGATGCCTAATAGTGTCTGGGTCGTAGTAGGTGCCCAACCAATGTGCACTTCTTGCCTGGACAAAGCACAAGCTTTACACACTGGCCAGGAACCAGCCTCTTGGGTTCTCCCTCCGGGCCATGCATGCATCCTGCTGTTCCACTCATAGGATGCTCACAAGTAGCCATCATCATTTTACAGACGAAGAAACCAAGGCAAAGGAAGTGAACTAAACTGCCCACAGCTAGTGAGCGGGGCAGAGCCAGGATTTAAGCCCTACAGTATGCAGCAAAGACAAGTCACACTGTGCAAACATGCTCCTGCTCCCCAGCCCCCACTGGATGGCCAGCGTGGGTGAGGGTTGGGGGAGGCAGGGACCCTCCCCCTTTCCCCCAACCCGCTTGCCCGGGCCTGGCCTCCGCGGGGGCGCGAGGACCGCACGCTGGGTCTCACGGTGACTGCCTCCAGCCGCCCCAACCCCGGCCCGCCGGGGGGCCTGGCGGCGACAGCGGCGCCTGGCAGCGGGGGATTTGGCCGCGGCCGCGGGCCCCCCTCCCTCCGCGCCGCCGCCGGGGGTTTGGCCGCGCCGGGGGACTTATCTCCCTTCCCTGGGACAGCCCGCTCCTTCCCGGCATGCCCCGCTCCCAGGAGCCGCCCGGATCCCGCGCCCGGACTTTGCCATCGGCGGGGGGCCGGCTCCCGGAGCGCCCCGGGATGCGTCCTGCAGCCGCAGCCTGAGGTGGGTGCGCCCGCCGCGCCGGGCTGCGGGAGCGGGGCCCCGGGCGGGCCGCCAGCCCCTGGGGAGGGTGTGGGGGATCGGGGCGCCGCCTGGGGTGCGGGGAGCCCGCCTGGCCGCCGCTTTGTTGCGGCCGCGGTGCTCGCGCGGGCGCAGACTTGGAGGAAGTTGGAGCTGCGCGCCCGGGAGCCCCGCGCGGTGCGCGCCTTGGCGCCGAGGGTCCCTCCCGGCCTCCTGGGTGTTCCGGGTGGCCGGGCAGAGTTAAGGAGGTAGGGGCTTGGGTCTGGTTTATCCTTGGGGGGTTTAGGACTCATCAGCGGGGAAGGGACCGAGAGAAAGAGACAGACAGACAGACACAGGGAACTATCCAAGCTACACAAAGAAACACAGAGGAGGAAACACACACAAAAAAACACGCATGCAGACAGATCCCCGGGAAACACGGCAAAAACTCACGGAGCTCATACACATTCCCAGAAACAAACGCACAGGCAGAGAGGAACAAAGCGGGTGGACTGGGAGGCCGTGGGCAGGGGGAGGGGAAAGGAAATTCGGAGAAGGGGAGAGGTGGAGGGGGTGGTGGAGAGGAAAGCACAGGCGTGGAGAGGAAACCGGAGCGGGGATTGGAGAGGCAGAGAAATGAGGGGAGGGAAGAATAAGACTAAAGGAGATAGCACTCTAGGAGGGACAGTATAGACACACATCTAAAGAAACTGAGGCAGACCCTGAGAATTAGCATCCCCCCATCCCCCCATATATAATCCGAGATACAGAGGTGGAAAAAACCCTAGCCATCTCACCCTTGTGGGCAAGTGAGTTTCCGGTGAACGGAGAGTAGCTATGTGAGAACTCTGAGAAAGACCTCCCTGGCACTATTGAGCCACTCAAGTCTCCACCTTGGCAAACTCCTATTCATCCTTCAAAACCCAGCTCAAGCATCACCTGCCCTGTGAGGAAGGCTTACCCAGAAAATGTCATGCAATCACAGTTACTCTCTTTTCCGTGTATTTCTGCATATGGCATAGGCATGTGGAGCTGAAGTGATTTGTTGTCTGCCTACCTCTTCCCCTGGCTCTTCAAGGTTTGCGGTCCATGTCTTAATTTCTTTCCAATTTCCAGAATCCAGCCTAGTGCTTGGTACATAGTAGATGGTCAATAAATACTTATTGAATAACAACCAGGAGCACTTGGACCCTTTAATACAGGGAACATAGAATAGAGGACTCCTTGAGAATCCTAGGTCAAAGCATCCTTTTTTTGTGTGTGTGTGTAAATGAAGAATTAAAACCAGAGAGGGGAGAAGACTTGGGGACACAAGCAGGAAAAGACCATTGTGAATACATACTTCGAGATGTTCCGTGTTCCTCCAGCCTTATGTGTTTAAAACAGGTATGAAAGAACCTCCTGAATGAAAACAACCAATGGCAACCACCAGTTTAATACCAGCTATATATGTTTCCAAGCCTGAAACGGACCACCAAAACTTTTTCTGGAATAGCTAGACTTCTCTTTACTGTGTAGAAAGGAAAGGGAGGTGAACGCTCACCTCAGCTCACGTGGCTGGCTTTCTGCCTCCTGACTGTATAAACTTGCACAAATGTCTTAACCTCCCTGAACCCCAGTTTCTTCAACTACAAATGGGGATGTGAATACCTCTCTCATAAGGTCGTTAGAAGAGTGAACACACGGTGTGCCTAGCATGGAGGATGCCTACAGCGTACACACCCGTGCCCTTCTCTCTCTGAAGTGGCTGTTCTTCCATGCACCGGTTGTGAACGTGTAGACAACAGTGCGAGTGAAAATGTTTCCTGTTGTCTCAGGACAGAAGTCCACCCTGGTCCAACTGGGAGCACATTCTTTGTATAAAAGAAAAGGCAAATCTGGGGCGTGGCATAAAATGCATCTTGATTCTGTGGAGGCTTTCAGGTCTCTGCAGGTGACTTGGGGCAACCTAACTTCCCCCTCCCAAGCCCCTCCTCCCCCAGCAGGTAAGACCCCACTGCCCCATCCTTTTCTGCACCTTCCTTACGAGGCCTGCTCTGTCCTGTGTCTTTCAAGCTTTAAAAGCACTTGCTGGGAATGTGACCGGACCTGAGGGACCACCAGAAGCATGGAGACTGTGGTGATCGTTGCCATAGGCGTGCTGGCCACCATCTTTCTGGCCTCGTTCGCAGCCTTAGTGGTGGTTTGCAGGCAGCGGTATTGCCGACCTCGACCCCGGGACCTGCTGCAGCGCTATGATTCCAAGTGAGTGCACCCGGGCAGGGGAGGGAAGAGGGGGAAGGGGGGCTGTGCCATGGGGATCCCACAAAAGTGCAAGAAGTTGGTGCTAAGCACCTGGCTCAGCTTTTTGGCTCTGCAATGATACCTGGAGGCTCTCCACCCCCAGGAAAGACCTCAGAGCTTGAGAGTGTTCCTAAGCCCCCAATATCCTGAGCCACCTCTGACTCTGTCGCCAAACGAATGAGAAAGCAACTCAGCATGGTCACCTAGCATAACGGTGGGTCCGTCTGCACAAAACGGCCACCTCACTCAGCATTTGGACAAGCCACATCTCTTTCCAACCAAACTCATAGAAAGAAATCCGATGCCCAGATGTCTAACCAGCAGACACTTGGTGTGAAATCCCAGAATAGGCCTCTCTCTCTGCTCAGATTTTTTTTTTTTATTTTTTTTTAGTATATATATCTATTTTTTAGTGTATTTTTATTTATTTCAGAGAGGAAGGGAGAAGGAGAGAGAGGTAGGAACGACAGTGAGAAGAGAGAATCATTGATTGGCTGCCTCCTGCGTGCCTCACACTGGGGATTTAGCCGGCAACCCGGGTATGTGCCCTGATGGGGACACGAACTGTGACCTCCTGGTTTATAGGTTGATGCTTAACCACTAAATCGCACCGGCCGGGCTCTGTAACTTTTCTCTTGTTGTTTTTGTGCCTTGCTTGCTCCTTGATTCACTGTCGAGCCATGTGCCCTGCCTGTCAATTCAGTCCCATTAGCTCAGGTTTGGATCCAGGACAAGCAGTCCTGCTTGACTTCACTCCCGTCAGCCTTTGGGGGGGTATGTGGGCCTCTGGGCAGAGGGGTCAGCAGCAGTCGTCCATCCTGAAGCTGCTTCCCTGGGCTCTTCCTTCCAGGCCCATTGTGGACCTCATTGGTGCCATGGAGACCCAGTCGGAGCCCTCTGAGCTAGAACTGGACGACGTCGTCATCACCAACCCCCACATCGAGGCCATTCTGGAGAACGAAGACTGGATCGAGGATGCCTCGTAAGGCCTTGGGGAGGGCCTGCCTTCCTGGAGCCCCTGGGGATGGTGGGAGGTATCCCCCTGCGCCCTTTCCTGGCTTCCTGCCCCTGAACACTTGACTGGGTCTGCTCTTCCTTTGCTCTCATGGGGAGGGAAATCAGAATATGACATAACAGTGTATGTCTGGGACTCACTCCCACCTCTCAGGTTGCAGACCTGAACACTGGGGCTCATAGGTGTATGCCAAGAGTTGTTATGAAGTCATGCTGAGGTGCTTGGTTATTCTTGGGGTGCCTTTGGGTTTGACAGGCAGGCTCTGGGGACGCAGCCTCTGTCCTCCATGTCCTCAGGGATCTCTCCATCCCACAGGAGCCATTCCATTCATTGAATCATTCACTCACCGGGCAGATGTCTGTCTGTGAGACCACATGTGCAGGGCCCTGGGCCAGGCACCACAGATGGAGACAGAGTTCTAAGTACAGTGTCTCAGAAATGATGGGGGTCTCTGTGCACAGCCCAGCGGGTGCACGGCCAAGGCGGTGTCTACAGTTGCCTGGGGTGGGGAGGCGAGGGTGGAAGGACCAGCTTCCGAAGCTCAGAGCACGACTTGATTGGTGGGGAGTTGTGATTAGGTGGGGGTGGGAGGAGAAGGTTAAGGACAGAGGGGCTTCCTTGCTAGCTCCTGGACTTGTCCATTCGAACGTGATGAGGCATCGCTGATCTTGGGTGGTGCCCAGGGGTGCAGAGCTAGGTGAGGAGCTAGGTGAGGAGCTAGGTGAGGAGCTAGGTGAGGCGCAGTGGTGAGGCGGGGGGAGAAGGGCCTCCAAAGATAAGCACTGACACACTCTTCTTGTCTCCCCAGGGGTCTCATGTCCCACTGCATTGCCATCTTGAAGGTAAGACTCGTGGATCGCTCCCGGCGATAAAGGGGGTGTTCAGCAGAGCACCCCAGTGCACAGCTGGTGGAGCAGCCTTAGGAAGGGCACGGAACCCTCGAGGAGGCCTTTGAGCCTGCCTGAAGCCTGGAGGTGCGGCAGTTTGCCTCCATTCCTTCAGGGACAGTCTGGCATTCTGCAGAGGCTGGGGTGCACCTGCTCCTCATGGCACAGTGACGTGTGGGAAAGACCACGTGGGTAGTCACCAGCCACATTGTCGCCCGCCGTGGACACACAGGGCTTCCCACCTTCTCCTGGGCACTTTCTTCTTTCTTTCTTTCTTTCTTTCTTTCTTTCTTTCTTTCTTTCTTTTTTTTTTTTTTTATAATTTTTATTGATTTCAGAGAGGAAGGGAGAGGGAGAGAGAGAGCAACATCAATGATAGAGAATCACCAATCGGCTGCTTCCCGCATGCCCCCCACTGGGGACCGGGCACACAACCCAGGCATGTGCTCCCAACTGGAATCGAACCCATGACCCTTCAGTCTGCAGGCCGATGCTCTATCAACTAGGCCAAACCCGCCAGGGTGTGGGCACTTTCTTTCGTTCACAGAGAGCTCAGCCCTGTATAGTGGGCTGGGTTCTGTATCTGGCTTCTCCAATACTAGAAAGCCCGTCACTGACCCTCTTTGGCGATGACAGCAGGCAGCCAAATGGGACAGTCAGTGTTCAAAAATTCAAACCACGAGCACTTCAAATTGAAGACAGATTTTTTTTTTCCCTCCTTAAATGTCTGCAGCCTTCAGGACCGGGTGAAAAATTGCACCCAATTTGCATTTTGGGTAATTTTTATAGTTTCAGCATTTAAAAAAAAAATGTTTGCCAGACACGATCCTGCCTAATAGGATCATCATAATGTTGAAATACTTGTCTGTTGGTAATAGTGTTGGTTCCTTCATGTCTGTAACCGGGGAAGCCACACATTTATCTTTATCTAAGAATTATTCAGAATTTCAGAACCAATAGCTTCATCTTTGCTTCAGCGTCTTGTAGTGTAAGATATTAAAACACCTTTCCTCCCGTCTCTTCCTCCGCTGCCTCTCTCGAGGGACAACGAAATGCCTAGGAGGACATTGTTGTCACCGAGTCCTGGCTTTTTCCAAGAAGCTCTCTGGGTACAGATGCGGTTGTAGACAGAGATAGAGCAATAATGGCCCTGGCTTTTGTCCCTTCCCTTGCCTATTAGTGGAGGAGGACAGTGGCCCCTGAGGGAGAGGATGAGTCAGCCGGAAGGAGTCTTTTGTTTATTTATTTGTTATTTATTTTTATTCTTTATTGTTTATGGTATTACATATGTTTCCTTTTCCCCCCACCCAACCATCCCTGGCCTCTCCCATCCCCAGGACATCCCCACCCCGCCCAGTGTCTGTGTCCGTGTCCATTGGTCATGCTCATGCATGCATGCATGCAAGGCCTTTGGTTGATCTCTTACCCCTCCCTTCCTCCACCCTCTGTTCGATGTTTCTCTGTCTCTGGGTCTATTTTCGTTCATCAGTTTGCGTTGTTCATTATAGTCCACAAATGAGTGAGATCATGTGATCCTTATCTTTCTCCAACTGGCTTAAGTCGCTTACGAAGGAGTCTTACTGGATTGGGATCAATGGTCCGCCTTATGACCTCAGATCAAAGGAGAGGCTCTCACCTTCCTGCTGAGATCTCAGGGTCATTTTGCTGTGGCCACCTGCCCCTGAGTCCCTGTGGTGAGGGCTCCCGGGATCTCTCCTGGGTGGGTTCTCTCCTTGGTGCCCCCTCTTTTGCAGCCCCAACGTAAGGCAGGTGATGGAACTTCTTTAGAACCATCCAGGTTCTACCATCGGGGAGGTGCAGGAGGGGAGACCGGGACTTTGGGGTGGCCAGCGGAGTTGGCGGATGATGAGAAAGACACGAGTCTTAGCCACGCCTATTTCCTGCGTTTTCCCACAGCTCTTGCAGCACCATCCAGACAAACATGCTAATGTGTCCCCTGGAGAATTGATGAGATACATGGCACTTTGGGTGGATGTGCTTAAAGGGAGCAGGTGTCCCTGGTCCAGCCAGATTCTGGGGGTGCCCCGTGGGAGATTAAACCAGGAGGTGAAGGAATAGAAAGAGAAAGTGGGTGTTCCCCCTCACATGAGACGGTGAAATTCGAGCGCATGATTTTTCTTAGGCAGATTAGTTCAGTTTAGATTTCTCTGCGACCAAACCCTGACCCTGAGCTGAGGTTCCTGCCCCTCCCTCCTCACCGGGCCATGTTCTCAGCGTCGGCCTCTTCCACCTCATTTCCCCTCCTTTCTGTGTACTTTGCACGTCCATTTGACCATTTGGATTAAGGGGCCCAGCTGTGGGATGGGACCCAAGGCCAGGGTCCTATTTGTCTTTGTGGAGGTGGCAGAAGCCGCTCGGGACCTGGGTCACCCCTCATCACCTCTGTCCTCCTTGCTGCCTTAGATCTGTCACACTCTGACGGAAAAGCTTGTTGCCATGACAATGGGCTCCGGGGCCAAGATGAAGACTTCGGCCAGCGTCAGTGACATCATCGTGGTGGCCAAGCGGATCAGCCCCAGGTGAGCGGCCAGGCCTGCGCCCCCACACTGCATGGGGGCGGGAGGGCCAGAAGTGGAGTCGGCAGGAGGGGCCAGGCTTCTCTGGGAAACCACACAGGCCACTTTAGTGATTTACGTCCTGAACACCCAAGGGCATCCAGCTGGGGTTGGGACGGGAGTCTTCCAAGCTAAGATGTTTCACACCGTCTCCCTACATCCAGGGGGCTTTTTGGGAAATTCCAACTTATGACAAGTGCTGACTCTTCTACTCCACACATCCCACTGTGGCTGCCCCCTCCTTTTTTTTTTTTTTTTTTTTTTTTTTTTTTTTTTTTTAATGTTTTTAACAGATTTTCAGAAAAAGAGGAAGAGAGAGGGATAGTGAGGTAGAAACATGGATGAGTAGGAAACTTCATCCATTGGCTACCTCCTGCATGCTCCCTCCATACTCCCTGCAACCTGGGCATGTGCCCTGACCAGGAATCGAACTGGTGACCTCTTGGTTCCTGGGTTGATGCTCAGTCACTGAGCCACACCGGCCTGGCTACCCCCGCCTTCTCAGTCCCATTCCAGCCTGGGCTGCTTTCCCCCTCTTTGCCTTTGTCCCAGGCTTCAGGTCAGTAAGCACATTTCCCGCACCCCCATCTGCTGTGACCGCATGGCCTCCCACCCATATCTGTACTGGAGACTAGTTCGGGGGTGGCTGGCACCCACTGCTCCATCCTTGGCCCAGCCAGCAGCCTCCAGGGCCGAGTGGGAGGTGAGGCTGTACATCACGGGGCTCTCCCAAATTCCAGGCATCTGCGAAATCCCATGTGGGAGGCAACCAGCGGATTGCAGTCAACAGCTACACCCCCTCCTGTGGGCTCAGTTTGGTGAAGAAAAATAGCCCTTTTCTTAGGAGGGCTGTGCTAAGTTTGTGCTGCCATCTGGTGGCTGGTATGTGGATGTGCCCGAGTGGGGTGTTGTCCGTGTCCAGCCACATCCCTGGTGGGAATGGTGCCCCCTCCCCCAAGTTCCAGGGGCCCCCTTGCTCTCCTGGTGGCTGTGGCCTCCGGTGAATCATGAGGATCCAGGGCATAGGAAGGAGTTGGTGGCATAGGAAGGAGTTGGTGCACTTGAACTCTGTCCAGGGAGTTCAGTGTGTTGAGAGAGTGGGAGGGACTCCGCCCGGAACCGTTCTTGGCTTTCTGTGGAGCTCTCCCCAGTGGGTGCGGTCCCAGGATTTACATCAGCCGAGGTTGGCCCCTGGCCTGAAGGGCCCTCAAACCAGGCTCTGGGCAAGCCCCAGACTATCCTCTGGACACTCAATACCAATAGACTCCCCATTGCTCAGACCTGCTGAACCTCTATCATGTGCCCTGTCACTCCCAAGAGTCCCCCAGGGGGCCTGACGGATTCATGTGGGACCAGGTTAAGAGGCAGCATTGCCAGGAGGGGTCTGAGGAGGAGAGAGATGAGGGTTCTGAGGATGAGGCCAGGGCTGGGTGGTCAGGAGAAACAGTGGTGCCAGGGTGTGGGTGTGATGTTGCTCAGAGGGCAGGCTTGACCTGGTGCCCCCTGGCCCATCCTACAGAGCACCTCAGACTGCTTCCAGAACATTTCCACCAGAAGTCAATCTGAGTCCTTGCTTTGTCTTGTTGTCCTCGCATGTCATTCTCCTCTGTCTGGTTCTGTCCGGTTGTTTTTCTTGTTCCGTTTATTCCACGTGGTGTGTGGATAGCATCTTAGTTTCAAAGGGCATGGCATCAGCTCCAGGCGCCATGGAGACAGGCCGGCTGGGCAGGGGCTAGAGTGGCCAACCTTCTGCATGTTCTCATCAGCCCCATAGCACCCCCTCCTTCTCTCCCGCCTTCCCCCGCGCCCCCCAGCCCCAAGACCAGAGCAGTTAAGGACATCTATTTTCAAATGCGTTTAAAAATCAGATAATATCTTGTTATTTTTTCCTTCCTGATTATCACATGGTCAAGAGCAAAAAATTTGGAGCAAGGCCTTGTACCATGCAAATCAGAATAAATAGTTTTGTTTTTTTCCCCCTGAACTAGATTAAAAAACAAAAAGTTAACCACAAGCCCTACCATGTGTTAAAAAGAAAAACAATGGAGTAATTCCCCTCTAAATTAAACTTGTAGGGTTTTTTTTTTAGTGTTCTATAGAACCTTTAACCATGTGTTGTTGTTGTTCCCAAACACAAAAATAATAAATATCTGCAAAAAGAAAAATATTGTAGATATGGATTATCTAGAAAGTAAAGTATCCCCTAATTCTACCCCCTCCCAGTTCCTGGGGGTAACTGCTATTGGTTAGTGAGTATCACTCCAGACTATTCTCTGCATTTCGTGGCTTTTATTTTTATGCAGATGGGATCCATCAAACTCTACATATGTTGGGCAGTGTGTCTTTTTAATTTAGTAGTGTATCTCAAACTACTGGACCATGTACTTTTCAAATCATTGGAACTAAAACCAAACCAGAAATCCTCTCTAAACTGAACCTGAAGTCTTCCCACTATTCTGGAAGCAGTCTGAGGTGCTCTGTAGGATGGGCCAGGGGGCACCAGGTGTTGGACCATGTACTTTTCAAATCATTGGAACTAAAACCAAACCAGAAATCCTCTCTAAACTGAACCTGAAGTCTTCCCACTATTCTGGAAGCAGTCTGAGGTGCTCTGTAGGATGGGCCAGGGGGCACCAGGTGTTGGACCATGTACTTTTCAAATCATTGGAACTAAAACCAAACCAGAAATCCTCTCTAAACTGAACCTGAAGTCTTCCCACGTCTCAGGCGGAGAATGCCAAAGCCGTTAGAGAAAGAGCCACCAAAGACTTGGGTATTTAGAGAGAACTGGGTTAGGAAAAGGCAGAGAGGAGGGAGGGCGTGAAGGTGCTAAGGAGAGTGAGACACTGAAAGCCCTGTCCTCCCCTCAGAGTGGACGATGTGGTGAAGTCCATGTACCCGCCGCTGGACCCGAAGCTCCTGGATGCACGGTGAGATGGCCGCCCCTCCCTCCATGCTGCGGGCTCATGGCTGATGAGATCTGTGTGGCCTGCTGCTTGGGTTGTGGGGAGAAGGCCGTGTTGCTGGGTTCCTGGGCTGTCCTGGGCCTTGGGTACCATTCAGTGCAGTGAGAGTCAACCAATCAGTGAGCCACGCCTGGCTGGGGGATTCTGAATCAATGAGGATGCTCCATGTGGGGCGAGGATACCCTCTCTTTAAGTGGGTAGCAGCGGGATGTGCTCATCCAATTTGGCTAGATGCAGGTTGTCCCATCCTACTCTCCTCTGGAGCCTTGTCATTGGTGAGCAGTGGACAGTGGGCACCACAGTCTCAAATAAGCTAATGAGACACAGCGTATTATATTCTCACTAGAGGCCCGGTGCATGAATTCATGCATGGGTGGGGTACTAGTCGGCCCGCTCCTTTTGAGGCCAATCAGGGCCAGGCCAGCCAGGGGCAGGGGCCGTGGGCAGTTGGGTGTGGCTGATCGGGGCCCCCGATCAGGCTGGTTGGCTGCCCCAGTGTGCATCATAGTGACCAGTCATTCCATTTTTCTGGTCTCTTGGCTTTTATATATGTTAAAGGCTCTGAAAGCCTTCAAGTAACCTTGTTTAACTTAGCCCTTCCCAAATTTGTCCGAGCATCTGTAAATTGCATGCTCACCCACTTCCCAGGGAAGGGGCTCGGTTTGGGGAACAGACTATAGACTTCAGACCAGTTGGGCTCAGCACCAAGTTCCTTCTTTCTGGGGGGACCTGATCCTGTTGTTTTTTTCTAGGACAACGGCCCTGCTCCTGTCTGTCAGCCATCTGGTGCTGGTGACCAGGAATGCCTGCCACCTGACCGGGGGCCTGGATTGGGTGGACCAGTCGCTGTCCGCTGCTGAGGAGCACCTGGAAGTCCTTCGAGAAGCAGCCCTGGCCTCCGAGCCAGAGAAAGGCCCCCCTGGCCCTGAGGGCTTCCTGCAGGAGCAGTCGGCCATCTAGTGCCGGCTGGCCAGCCACTGACCACAAGGGCCGGCTGTCTGCTGTCTGCAGGCTGCCCGGCTGAGCCTTCCCCTTTTCCTGTCATTAGTTCCTCACGGCTCCGGGGCCCGGCTGTGTGTGTCACCCAACAGGAGGGCCCGTGCGTTGATGCCTCCGCTGCAGTTGCAGATGGTGACTGGCGAGTGGCAGTCTGACACCACGGTTAGGGAAGACACCATCCACCATCTGCCCAGCAGCCCTCTGAGCACGGGTGGACTCTAACCTTTATGGGGCTCACCTGGTGCTTTTGGGGAACCCACGCCACCCACTAAGAATCAAGAGGTTTTACATCACAATCAGCATTTCCAGCTTCCCTTGAACAATCAGAAGGTGAGGCAACTCTGACGTGCATTTTCCAAAGAGGACAATCAATTGGAACTAAGTAAGAGTAGCCTTTTTTTTTTTTTAATCCTCACCTGAGGATAATTTCTTTTGATTTTTAGAGAGAGAGAGAGAGAGAGAGAGAGAGAGAGAGAAAGAGAAGCATCCATCTGCTAGAGACACATAGGTTGGTTGCTTCCTGCATACGCTCTGACCAGGGCCAGGAATGGAGCCTGCAACCGAGGTACATGCCCCTGACCGGAATCAAACCCGGAACCCTTCATTCCGTAGGCCACAGCTCTATCCACGGAGCCACATGGGTTAGGGTGGGGTTGCCTCTTTTTGCAAGACTTGTGCTCTCTCACTTGGTCTGTTTCATTGGTTTGTGTTATCTGCCCGTTCCCTGAGGCACTTGAGTCCCTCCTCCCCTGCACAGGTGTGTGTGTGAAGGTGAGCACCCCAGAGTTGATTATTCCCTTTTCATCATTATGCCTGTAATTTGACCTCGTTACCACTAGGGGATAGTAAATGCATACTTAGGTTTTTCTCAAGTGTGTGGTTATTGAGTCAAATTCAAGTGCGTGGGGGACGTATTTGTCCGAGAACCGAGGGCGGAAGGAGAGAGAACCGAGGAATCGTCAGCATGCTCTGTGCGTGTGACTCAATGAAATATTTCAACGCCCTGAGTTCACATTAGCAATGATGTCCATGCAGGATGTGCTCTGTGTGCTTTGGACATTGTTGTGTTTTGTCAATGTTGAAAGGTGAGGGGCGTTTTTATGACTTGAGACCTGTGTGAGGCCAAGAATCACAGCTTCATAATCCAGATGCACATCCTGATTGCGTCATTTCCAGCACCAGGGTAGGGACTTCCTGAAGTACTCTGCTTCCTCCCAGATCCTCAGAGCCAGGGTGGCTCTGGGGGCAGGGCTCGGCTTGGTGGCTGCCTTGGTTCACGTCTGATGCGGTGAAGCATATTTGGAACTCCGCATCGGTTCTTGTGTAACATTCTCTGCCCTGACTCAAGTCAGCAAACCCCTCATCCTGATTCCAGACAACCAGGAACCCATATCCCCAAGCCCAAGATTTGGGCCTTGCTTGTCCTTGAGGTGTGTCATTGGGTTCATTCCATTCTTCCCTGGAGAGCAGGATGTGTGTAACCAGCAGAGTTCTCACCTGGGGAGATGGTGTCAGGAGAGGGAAGCTGAAGCTCCACTCTCATGGGCTGAAGGACTGATTGCTTTTGTTGTTATTAATCCTCACTCTTATTTTTCCATTGATTTTTAGAAAGAGTGGAAGAGAGAGAAACATCCATGTGAAACACATCTGTTGGTTGCCTTCTGCACAAGCCCTAACCAGGGCCCGGGCTGGGGAGGAGACTGCAACCGAGGTATATGCCCTTGACCAGAACTGAATCTGGGACACAGTGGTCTGCAGGCCAGTGCTCTATCCACTGAGCTAAACTGGCTAGGGCGAAGGATAGATTCTTGACCACAGGGGACACCTTATCGGATGGCCCATTCGCATCAACTCGGACTGCATGCTATATGGTAGTTAACATTCCTGTCCTGCTGGTGAGCTGCGAGTGGGAAATGTCCACAGAGCCACTTAGACTATTTCTATTTGTGGCCTCCATAAATAGACACCCATAATCCTCCTAGTTTTGTCCTTTTTCCTCCCTTTCAAAACCTGCCTTTATAACCAGACTGGAAACTCATTTCTACTAGGCTTGCCATGGCTGCTTCAGTTGTAAATGTCCCCTGCACCTAACCTGGACCAGAGCCCTAAGCCTAAGAGAAGCAACCCTGAGTTGACCTCCCAGATACCATCCAATAGGTGTGGGGCTGGAGGTGGAGATGTTTCCCCTGAATTGACCCCCAGTGTCACCTCTGAGCCCTGGCGAGTCCCAGCACACCTGCCTCCTGAGGCCTTGAGCTGCCCTTTGTGTGGTGAGGAGAGGTGGCCGAAGACAGAGGAAATGTGTGCTAGATGGCAGGACCCCTGCTTCCGCTGCTCTAGTTTTTTCTTTCATCTCCAGAGCAGGAAAAATTAAAGGTCTCTGGATAAGGGTGGTGTTGAGGTAGAGCACCAACTGCTCTCTGGGAGTTGGCGGAAGTTACTTCCTCCTTTGGGAGGGCTGGCTGGGGAGCACCTGGGATCTAGCCAGGAGGTTTCCAGGAGGACAGACACACCCCAAGTCCTCGTTCACTAGTGCCTATGTGCACAGTGGTAGAGCTTTTCTCCCATGACCCCCACCCCCTCTACCCTGGAGTGAGAGCATCAGACTAAACTTCTAAATAAAGAAGGAATAAGGACAGGATTTGAGTGTGAGAAGAGTAAGATCTTTGAAGTAAGGCAGAATTAGGTTCAGATCTGGGCTCAGTTGTTTACTGTGGGAGCTTGAACATGCGACTTACCCTCCCTGGTCCTTGGCTCTCTCACCTGGAAAATCAAGGCTGCTGCCTCACTGGGTTGGTATGTGAATCAATGAAAGGGCATATGAGAAATGTCCAGTTGTGTGCCTGGTACTGACTAACCAACATTAACCTTTCTTTCCATCCCACCCCACCCCCGCCCTGTGCCCAATGCCGCTGACCCAGATCCATCACCTCGGTTATCATGGCTCTGTCCAAGCAGGGGCTTTGCGGTCAGATAGCCAGAAAATCTGGAATCACTGCAGGAGAGAGAGTGGCCCAGCGTGTCCCAGCCCCACCCCACGCTCAGGACAGACAAAGCTCTTAGCCTCTTATCAGGGCTCCCGGGGTTGATTGCTCAAGTTGCATTCCTGCAGCGCTGGGCTGGAGCCTCCTCCAGCTTGTGAAACCTCCCCAAGAGAGCAGCATCCAGCTCACCCCGTGCTCACCCCGTGCTCACCCTGACCTGCCTCGTTCCAGGAGTGGCTCTGCAGGGACTCTGTGTGCCCACAGGAGCCTGATCCTTAGAAAAGGACTTACAGTCCAAAGCCCCTGAGTTGTTTTATGACTTTACACATTTTAGGGAGATGTCAGATGACGAATTCCCATTCATTTCTTCCTTGGATGCATCCCTCCTCCCCCTCCCTTTACAACTCCTCCCCGCTTCTCCCACAGATACGTACTTTTTGCTTACTCTGGGAGGAAGTGCTGTGCTAGATGCTGGGGATATAGAACAAAAAGCACAAGCCCTGGCCCTAAGAAGCAAAAGGGACAAGGGAGCAGCTGTGGTCAGTGTAGTGAGAGAGATGTTGAGAGGGGCCATGAGGGCATGGGATGGGGGTGGTGACAGTGTGGAGATAGTCGGGGAGGGCACTTGGAAGGAGCTGATGCTTGTGTTGAGGCGTGACAAAGTGTCAGAGAGATATTCTGGGCTGACCAGACGTGGGAAAGGTCCGAGCCCAGGAGAGCATGCTCATTTGAGAAATGCAGGTGTTTGGGGAAGGCTAGAGTGTGGGATGTAAAGGCTGGACAGGTTGGCAGGGCATCAGATAATGGAAGATTTAACAGGTCATATTAGGGAGTTGACGCTTTATTCTGAGCATAATGGGGACCATAGAAAGACTTTATCCAGGGGAGTGACTTGGTCAGAATTGCCATTTAGAAAGACACCCATTAACTTCACACCCTATGACATTAGGCTCCTGGATCCATACATTTGTCCAATGCCACTGAGTGCTTTTCCTCCCTGAATCTAAGGGGCTCATGACTCGGTCATGGTGTAAAGTCAGGTGGGCAACTGGGTGGGAAGGGAGTAAGCGAGCAGCTAGGCATCAGAACAGAAAGTGCAGGGAGAAATAAGGTTGCACCGGGTCTGCCTCTGGTGGGTAACAGTCTCTGTACCAGAAATGCTGATGATCAGAGAGAGCTCTGAGGATTTGAGGCATCACTGGGACCTTTCTGTTTCATTCCTTTTGAATTTTCATCACCCCCATTTTACAGGCAAGGAAACCAACTTTCCTGGAGTCATTATGAATCAAAACAGGGATTTCAGCTCCCCAGCTCCTGTTCTGTCATCACCACTCCTGCCCACTAGGGGCGGTGCGTGGGGAAATCTACAGTGAAGGGAAGGAAATCACCCCTATGAATCATTCTATTCCTTCTAATTCTACTATTTTTCATTAAAAAATGAATTAAAAAAATGGTGGTCCTGACCAATAAATCAATTTCATGGCCAATAGTCGGTTACAGCACATAGGGTGATAGAACATGGGCAATAAAATGAGGGCTGGGGCATGGGTGAGGCACTCTTTCTCCATCCAAAATGACTTAATTTGTTCTGTTTTAAGGAACATGTGCTTTTACCAGAATAGTCACAAAAATTTACGGTGCAAAATGGAATAATTTATTACAGGATTGATTAGTTCGAGTCCTCTGTGGAGCATCCACATTGGGCGAACCCTGGAGTATATTGGAGTGAATAAAAAGATAATGAATGCCTCTCTTGGGGCACATGTAATCTAAGGTGGAAAGAAACACATAAAGAATGATTTGTGATACAATACAGTAAATGCTAAGTAAGGGAATGTGTGTGTAACGGGAGCACAGAGCAGGGCACCAAACCCAGTCCAGGTGAGTTTCTGGAAAACAGGATGTCTTAGAATTGTCCAGAAGGCGTAGGTGCTAGGTGGGAGGAGGTAGCAGTAGAGGAGGACCGAGGATCCAAGC